GACGTACGACGTACGACGTACGACGTACGACGTACGACGTACGACGTGGAACAGACCCACAACAACCATGCTCAAAACGGCCTGATTCGGGTTCTCTGACCTCAGAAACGTCCAGAAAACATGTTTTTGAGATGTCGTAAATTTTGACCCATTGCAATACTTTCCCCTTTCACACTATGTGTGTGCGGAAAAGTAAAAAGGGCATACAGAACGAGAAAATCCATTTTAACATAGGTTCGGAGGCATTTAAATTGAAACTTCTTTTCGTCTCGGCTTTATTTTGCAAATAAATTTTGAGTTTTGACTGGAACACATTCAAAAATCACAAACACTATACAAGGGACACATACAGAGCAAAAAACCATCGAAATCATACTCGAAAACGAAATGCCAAAATAAATAGAGATCCATGATTTTTTAATAGACCTGGATAAATCTCGTACGGCTTATTCCACGTAGTTTTTTTTCATCTTCTTTTCTGTTCACTCCAACGCTCGACCATTTGCTACTTTACGAGGTCATAAAAAAGCTTATTTTTATTTGAATGGATATAAAAATAACCAGCCAGTGATAAAACGTACACAGATTTCATCTCATGGAGGAATGAAAATCAGCCAGATTAGATTATCTGTCATACTCTTATATTAAAATTGATTGCCATTGGACTTTTTCACTCTCGAAAAATGACACATTCGTTTTTCCATTTATTTATTATGTTTGTTGTTTATGAAAAAAAAATCACAACCGATACTTGATTTGAAGTGGATTGTTTATTTGAAAAGCACGGTATGTGAATTGTGAATTCTTTTCAAATCCGGATGGTATAAGTGGGCTCAACGGTATAGGTGGGTTTTCAGAAATATAATCAAGAAAAAAACTTTCCTAGTTCACAACAATAACAGGTATCGAGGTCAAAAAAAATCCCGTCTGAGTTTTATAATTTTATTTTGCTCTTTCTTTTTTCCAAGAGTGGGAATTTCATTTATTTTCTTTTCGACGAGTAAAGCCGGATGCTTAATCCATTTAACCAACGCAAATAAAATGCACTTCATAATGATATCATTATGAAAATGCGTTGTTATTTAACCCACATTCTTTCATTATTTTCTCTCTTTTTTTTGCAGTCCCATACATCGTAATAGCCGGAGATGCTAGAGACGTTGCGACACCAGAAAAATTTTACAAAGTAGGCAGCACCATTGAGTTAAAATGCATCATCGACAAAATACCAAATCGTTCCAGTTATGTGCTGTGGAAGCATGGCGAACGCTCGCTCAACTTTGATACCAGTCGAGGTGGAATTAGGTAAGCGGCACACACTACAATCACTAAAATAAAAAATTTAACCTCTATCTATCGAAATGGTTGCCATTGCATTGTTGTTTGTAGTCTTTTTCTATTCGTAACAGCATTGGATGCAGTGGAATTTTTTATTGAAATTTTATACTGAAGACTGAATGCGAAAACAATTTCAAAATCAGGTTAATGATTAAATACATTTAACCTCGATTCTTTGAACTCAATCGATTTCAATGGGATGATTATGATATTGTCATTTTTGCACGCTTTTGAATGCACTTTAATACGGCCTTCAACGAGTTTTTTCCAATTTTATAACATTGCATATCACATTCAGCGAGATGAAGATGGGAGCAGCGTACATAAAACATTCTCTCTCTTCTTTTTTTCTCCAAACATAATAATAAAAGCGATACTTTGCACACTTTGTTGTTTTTATTGCCGGTGAAATGCAAATTGGAATAACCAAAAAATACTGGCTGAAAAGTGATTTAAAGTAATTTGTGTGCGGTTATAATAATTCTATGTGCCATATTCAGGCGATAATTTGGCAGCGTATTTATAAAATTTGACGTAAATTTATTTTGCGGTTGGTGCTTTATGCGACACAATGGAAGCCATAAAAGGCGTAAAGTTGTTAAATGGCTTTTTGTGTCAAATCTTCATTTTGTTCGGTAACATTTAATGTTGTTGTTGTTGGTTTTTGTTTTGTTATTGGGCAAACGTTTGTTTTATTACTGTTTGGTTTTCAACTTCGTTTCACACAAACGGGGAGGGAGATGAGAGGGACACGCAATTTTTTTTATGATAAAACACCAACAAATTTACGCTTATTTTGTCACTGACACCCAAGTGTTGAAGTGACGGAAAAAGTGCGACAACAAATAAAATGAAAGTGACGACAACGGAGGAGACAACAGTGATGATGATATAGCATGTGGCCACAAAAAAATGCCACACAAAAGCCACACGCAAGCACATTGGGCTGAACTTATCGAGTTCACATTGGCTTTTGCTGTGTTTTGACTCACATTTAATTCGACCGCATTAAAAGAACGCAAACATTTTTCGTCCCCGCATGGACGCTAATAAAGTGTCCAAAGTAAGGTTTTTTTGTAAACAATTCAAAGAACTTAAACCACTGGCTACTTATGAATTCATATTTTTTTTCTGTCACATTCATTTACACCACACCAGTCTTTGGTGACAAAAAAGCGCACAAGATTATTTAGAAATGTTGAACTTTTCAATGAAGTACAGTAGACATTCGACGGTACAAAATGTATCCTTATTGTCATTTCTGAGATGCACATTTAAAATTGTTAGCTTTTAAATTCGAATATGAGCGTTTAAGTTTATATTCACGAATTTTTAATATTTTAGTATAATGTCATCATACTACCATGTGGGCAATATGCAGAAAGATTGTTCGTAAGTATTAATTGATTAATAAGGTGCCGTCAATTTGAAATGGCCGAGCGAAATTCAAAACTAATAATATTTAAGAAAATGAAAACAAATTGGCTACTTTATATAAACACATTCGCTCTGCTTCATCAAAGTGCAAAAGTGGTGATTGCAACCACCATGAGTCCCTGTATATTAATATAGGCGAGAAAAAATTCGCACAATAATGCGCCATCTGTTGACGTGGTTATCAATGTATGTATTACATACTATGTAATTACAAAGACGGAATTGTTGGATGGTGTCTTGACAAAATTTTCATATCGGTTGTTTTCAGCCACAATTCGCGCACGTCACCAGATGGCGTTTTTACAATTTGACATCTCTCAGTCATGATGGTTGGGTGATTGTGTCGTATAATATCAATGCCACAAGATCAAATTAATAATTTCAACTCCAGTTTTTTATGTCTTTGATACAAACATCCTGAACCCCAATTATATAAACTCAATCACTTGATATAAAAAATGTCCTTTCTCATCACACATTAAGCTAAAGAATAGAAGGAACAAATTATACCAATTTATCATCAACATACGAATTTCCTTGTGTTCTTTAGTCTAAAATCAGTTTTCGGTCGAATGAATTTTTAAATCACACAACATTTTGAACAAAGACCTCGATCGATAAAGATCATATAGAGCTTATTTTTCATAAACATAAACTGAAGATTCAATCATTTTAGTCAGTTAATGCGCTGTCTAATGGTGCTTGTATTTCAGGTTTTTGTTCAAAAAAGCTGCAACTTGTATGCATTTTGGGCTTTTACGTAAAATATTCTATCGAAAGTCCTTGTGAGAAATTTCCGAGTGTCTACTGTACAATATTGTAGATATTTTCATAAAGAAACTTTCAACAACTGTAATGCAAAAAGATTGGCCTTAAGCTGAAACATTTTATCATATTTTTAACTTTGTTTTTGTTCTTCAAACGAGAGCCTATAAACTGCAAATGGTGTATTGTGTTTTACATCGTTTGCCTTATATCGAAAGTTAACGTCAGTAAGTAATTTGAATAGTGTGTACTGAACACCAAGTACTGGGAGTGAGGCCATCTGAAAAAAAAATTCAGTGCAGCCATATGTAATCAAGCGCAATAAATTGATGATAAAAAAAACCTCGCAACATCAAACACACTTTTTACTCAAAGTAAGAGTGTTGTTGTTGAACAATGCAGCACTAGCACAGCGAATGCATACATTTCGGAGAAAAATGAAGGCCAATTATCTTTGTGTCTATGTGCCTTTTTTCCAACGTTCATAGTCTCGTGTTGTGTGCATTTAAAATGTAAACTTTTTATATTGGTACAAAGGGGATTGTAAATTACCTTAAACGATACCATTTTCATTTGTTTTGGTGCGGTTGTCGGTATTATTCTTTCAAATAAATGTACATACACGCAGACATTTGATATCATACTGCCATTTTCCATCTGATAAAATTTGGATTTTCCATTCGCCCGATTAAATGAAATCCATTGTTTTCGACATTTCGACGAAACAAATGAATTTCGCCAAAAGATCAAATTTGTTGCATGCATAAGCAGCACATTGAATCGATAAACTGTTTTGATATGTTCCCGTTGGGAGAGCGAACGAGAAAAGAAACACCGGAGAAAATGTGATAGTGCGAACGAAAGAGAAATAGACGAGGCTATAGCATCAATTTGAATGAGCACTAGATAAAGTAATGCATTCAAATGCGTATTATTTTAATTGAGGTAACGTGTATCCAAGTTAACGCTGATAATAAAAAAAGCTGGTTCAACAACTACAATTGCCCTTCTCTTTTGTTCATATTAGTTTTGAAAATACATTGCCTTTTGTGTTTTTTCCGGATTTTTGTAGGCATTTTTGTGGTGAAATTTTTCTTTGCAACCATTTTTGTTGAAAGAAAAAGCGTCACTTTTTGGTGAGGCGAACAAAAAAAGGCGATTCCCATTTGCGTTTATATGTTGTATCTAATTTAACATCTTCTCTAGCTACTTTTGGTTGGGGTACATTTGCCTTTGGGGAAAAATAAAAGCAAATGCCGAACACAAAGCACTCCTTACACATACTCACATCCAAATTACTTTTATACCATAGAACAGAAAAAAAACTTGGCAGATATTACATTGCCTTTGAATGTACATGTTTCATTAAATATAAAAATGTGCTTCTTTCAAACACTTTGAGCGACAGCAAAAAAAATCCAATTGAATAAAGGTTCGAAAAAGAAGTGAAAACAACAAACCAACTATGCGGTTGCCGAAATGTTGTGTGACAACCAGTTACAGGTAAGGTCATGCAAGATTAAAGGTGAAAAACAATATTTACTTGATGTTACCTATCACACAACACTTTTTGGTCAGTTTTATATGTATGTTATGTGCTGTGTTCCCCTTCAGAAGTTTTTGAATTTCCTGGCGACGGCTTTTGTCTCACTACATTTATGCTTTCGTAAACATTCCGAATGAAATGGCAGACGAATTCGGTAAGCGCAAAAATTTAATATTGTTTGAGGTTTGACCAAAGTCTCCGTCTCCTTTTCAATAAGAACACTGAAGCTAGACAGTGGTTCAACATTTTGATATAGAAAACACAATGGTATATACATAAGTCGATAATAGTCGAATTAGATATTACATCAGATGATCCACTCACAAGAATTGCTTTGAATAGTTTCGCACCCATTCAACATTTAAAATGGTTTATGTTGATTCGGTATGTTATTCATATGCAAAATCATGATTTCATTTTCTTTTGTTGTTGTTCGAAACGAAAAAATAGACTTATTGAATTTTTGCGCATAAGTGAGTGAATAAACATAAACGGAAGCAGAGGCACAAAGAAAATAAATCGCCATAAAAGTTTGCCAAACACACACATACACACACACACATTTAGTGAAGAGATTGTGGTTGGAAACGTGAATGTGTTTAAGAATCAAATGTAGGACGAATGAAACATAAAAAGCTTTTAGATTAAATTAGGCCGGATTTAGATTCCAATTTCACATTTGTATAATTTTTCCACATTATTATAAAGCAGAATGCATAATTCCTTGAAGTTTTGTTTACCATTCGGTTTCGTGATTCAGTGGATTCTTTATAGACGAAAGAAGACCCAATATTCGAAACAATAGAGACTAAATCGCACGCATTTAAAAAATAAGGTCGGTGGAGAAAGAAAATATGAAAAAGAAGATTTTAATAATCATAACAATAATTTAAAAAAAATATTCAGCCCAAGGCACTTTCAGATGGTTTCGAATTTTGTCTATGAGAGGAAAAAAAAGATGTGTATTAAAGTGAAAATAAAATGAACAAAAATAATCAAATCGTATTTGGACACCACCATTTGAATACGAAATGTTTTTGGCCACCATTTGGAACCATTCACTAAGGACCATAGCTGTCCACGAACGTTCGTTCGTTCGTTCGTAGAATATTTTTTTGGTCTTTTTGTTCGTTCGTTCGTTCGTAGAATTGTATTGCGTTCGTTCGTTCGTTCGTAGAAACTGAAATGTTCGGATTGTTCGTTCGTTGTTCGTACGAAC